CTAAGACACAAAATTAAATACCCATATTCTAGTACATCGATTTTTTGGGGTGGAACTCGCTTCAAATATAAATAGATTTAAGTGTATGTTATAAAATCACAGACATATTATGAACTTCCAACTAAAAAAAACTAACAAGAAACCAAAATATAACAGAAATACAACATAATAGAAGATCCGAAGTAAAATCGTTCTTTACCATCCCCTTACTAGAAAAGTAAAACATATTTCTATATTAATATTATATAGAGGAAAGATTTTTTTGTTTGTTTGCTTGTATCGAATAAGTCCCGAAACTACGGAACCGATTAAGATGAATTTTGATAGGAAGATAGTTTCAGGCCCTGGCAAGGACATATTATAGTTTTTATCCCGGAAATCATCCCTTAAGGGGATGAAAATTGGGTTGAAAGTTTATATGGAGAATCAACCTAGGCACGAACCCGAGCGAAGCGAGCTAGTGTTCATATAAAAAGATTTATAGAACATACTTACTTATACGGTAAGCATATGGATGCAACATGGCCTTACTTCGGATCTTAGACTAAAAAACTTTTGTCAACTCTCGTAATTTGAAACCGCAAAGAACAAAACCACCGCCAGAATAGAGTAATGAAAAGCGACGTGGTAAATTTTGCGGCGAATTTATTTCAACTATTAAGTACAATTATTTCGTCCGTGACTTCTGTGTTTTTTTACCAATTGAATCTAATTCAGTGTAGACGTCGTCTAATTACTTATCGAATGTGATGCACTTACAATGGCACTATTTATTTTTAAAATATTCTTGTTTAAACATGTCATGGCTAGTTTTGCATAGTAATCTTATACATATAATAAAATTTTGACTGAGTCGAATCTGTATATTAAATATTTTTTGGAACGTCTTTCATTATCAATCATCATTAACGATACAGAGGCCGAATATATAGTTTTTAGATTTTTTGTTTCTGTCTGTCTGTCTGTCTGGGAACGCATCACGACAAAACCACTAGACAGATTTTGATGAAATTTGAATACAATAAAAATACTCTGTTTATACCAATATGACCTTATTTTATGATAAAATCGAACTCGCGACCTCTAGCTTAGAATGCAATTCAAATTCTATTACATTGATAGATGCGTTCTGTTAGTGTTCATTTAAAGTCTGCCTCAGATTTTTTTGAATAAAACAAAGGAATCTTCGACCTTCATACGCACATACATATAGGGACAAATTTTCAAATAGAACCTTGGACAAAAATTGGATGTAAACAAACCGTCTTTTACATTATTCATTAGATTTTAACTGTTTGCTTCAGAATATAATCCTTTGTAACGCTTCTAAAATATCTATTTAACGATTCTGAGTGTAACAATAAAATGAATAATGTAAAATTTTATGTCTTTGTGATTTATGCCTGTGAAATATAACGCGTTTTTTTAACGATATTATAGACTTTTGAAGTTATACTTCTTTTGGCACGTTTGGAAAAATTTATGAGAACAAAATTTTTACGATGCGCGCGCAAACCGACAGCCAAAAAGCGACATGATGAAGTTAGCTGCATTCCTTTTACAAATAGAGAGTTGTGTTATATGGGACATACACACGTTTTTTTTTATTTGAATTAAACTAGTATTCGCCTAGTGCTCAAAATTCGACCATAATCAATGTTTCTATTATTATTTATTATAAATGCAAAAGTTTGGATAGATGGTTGTTTGTTACTCAATCACGCCAGAGCGACTGAACGGATCTAGATGAAATTTGGCACAGAGATAGATTATAGTCTGGAATAGCACATAGGTTACTTTTTATCTCCGAAAAATGTATGATTCTAGTGGAATAGGTTTGTTTACAGAGCAAGGAATTGATTATATTTAGTTTTTTGAAACTATAATTGTTACATCTATACATGTAATATATAGATGTAATAATTATAGTTTATAAAATTGTAACTAATACAGATTCGGTAAGAACGGTACAACAAGATTTTTCAAATAATATTTAAAATACAGATATTAAATAGTTTTTGAATTTTTTTATTGAAATAGACATTATTATCGATACAGAAGCATACCTAAATGTAGGACAAGATCGCTAGTTTATTTGAAATTATTTGAAATTATTATAGAATAGCTTTAAGTTTTGTAAGATAAATATTATATAGATGCAGGAATTGAAGTGAAACCAGTAATGAATGTTGATTATGTGGGTGGTTCCTGAACACTGTGCAATATCCTTAAAGATAATACGAGTTCTCAAGTTTAGTCAGAGAAATAGTGACGGTAAAGAAATCTCTTATAAAATGCTGTAAGAGATGTAAGAACACTTAATGTGGTGATAGTGTGGGACTCTCATGATAATAATCATAATTAGACGTAGTTATGCAAAATAGATCAAAATTCAAAATATTTTATTCAGCATTAAATTATTACAATTTTTTACTGAACATCATGAGTCTACTACCAGTTCGGAAAGAAGAAGCCTCAGACTTGAGAAGAACTGGCGAAAGAATCCAACCACAAAAACTTACTTTAAAATAGGAGAAAATAGGAGTTTTAGTGAAATTGGTATATTAAAATAACCACACCGTAGTTTTTTTTATAACCCGTTAAGTAGGTTACCATGATACATTTTAACATAGAGTTCAAATAGAACCATGTATGGAAATGCTTAATATTTTATTGATATCGTTAGTGTCTCTTAAGTTTAAAAAAAGGCACTTTGTGGCATGAACATTTTTTGTATATACTAACGTTGATATGTAGGTGCCATTTATGACAGTAACTCAAAAAACGGTTTTTCGTGGGCTGAATCCATTTTGCATAACTATGTCCAATTATCATCTATCCAACCAAAACCGTACATTTTTCCAGAATAAAAAGTAGCCTATGTGCTATTCCAGACTATAATCTATCTCTGTGCCAAATTTCATCTAGATCCGTTCAGCCGTTCTGGCGCGAAAGAGTAACAAACATCCATCCATCCTTACAAACTTTCACATTTATAATATTTGTATGGATTTAATTTCAGGTAAAACGGTTACAGAAATGCGTTGCATTTTAATTAGCCTGATGACATTTAACATATATTTAAAAAGAAACATCAAGAGTTAACGATCGCGTAATGTTTTATCGACCTCTAATACCACTAATTATTATGTACGTAGGTGCCAAATAGTATAAAAATTCGAAGGCCTTAGTTTTTATTCAAGGCAACATTTTGTCTGGAATCCTAATTAATAGGTTTATCTACCAATTTAGACACAATAAGGAAAATTACAAATATACTTAACTAGCAGAACCCGCGGCTTCGCTCGCGCTAAAACTACAAAATTTCTAAAAAGGTAGTTTCATACAAACTTTCATCACCTGTTTTACCCTCTCATAGGATGAATTTAAAAAAATGCTAAACACGTATTTATTTAGTTTATAGAAAAGCTATCAACTTTCAAATAAATCTGATTATATTTTTTTTTGATTGTATTATAACGTGTTTTCTCGTGGGAATTAGATAATCTCCCGCGGTAAAAAGTAGCCTATATCACTTTCCAGCCTTCCAACTATCTCCACACAAAAAAATACGCCAATACATTTCGACGTGAAAGAAGGACAAACAAACAAACAAACAAACAAACAAACAAACAAACAAACAAACAAACAAACAAACAAACAAACAAACAAACACACTTTCACATTTATAATATTAGTATGGATTATATATACAAAAAAAATTTATATAGGTACTTATTTATTACTGTACAGGTCATGTCCGCGTGGAATAGTAGCAAGAATGCTAGCCGCATTCTCCCGTTGAATGGCAATGCCGATTCTTTGGGCGAAAAATGCGCCAGCCCTCATGTCACCAGTAGAGGTGATAAGACAAGGTGTTATGTCTTTTAAGAGGTGCTTAGCACTTTGACTTGGAATTAGTATTTAGACATTTATTTACTATGAATCTTTAATATTCGCAGTACATTTACAGACAAAATATTGATGCGATTTGTTTGTGCGTTCGAGAGCAGTTTCTAATATTTATTTTGTTCAATTAAGTACGTATTAATTTTTAACTTAAAACGTTACAATAATATCAAAATTACATTATATGACAGTCATCATCTCCCTGCCCTTTTCCTAATCACTTGGGATCGGCGCAGTACATCTTCTGTATGCTTCTGATAGGATTTGGCAATAGTTTTACGACCGGCCGCCTGCCTGACGTCAACCCTCCTTGGGAATACATTATATGACAGTATGATCAATTATTCTCTTCTCAGGAGCATATATTTTTTTAATTATATGGGTTATAATTATTGAGAAGTAAACATATATTAAGGCAGTGGTAACCCAGTGGTAACGCGCTCGCTTGGGAAACGAAGTGAAACGAGTTCAAATCCCGAGTCTCGCACCTCTGATATTTTCATGTGCGAATCATTTCTAACATGATTACCACTTTTCTTACGGTAAAGGAAAACATCGTGAGGAAACCTGCATGTCTGAGAGAACCTAACAAGTTTACCAAAGACATGTGAAGTCCGCCAACAAGCATTTGAACAGCGTGGACTATGGCCTGATGCCGAAGGGAGGCCCTTAGCCCAGCAGTGGGACGTTAAAAAAAGGACTGAATACATACATATAATACACACAAGTCTATATTACAAGCTATTTTTAAATAACCGTTTACAATATTAAGGCTAAGCGCATTGTAAAATTCAATTACTTTTGTCGAAATGATCATATTATATTTATATAGTTCGAGAGACATACAGATAACCGATGAGATGGTCTTGTGAGACCCAATCCATATACTTAAATAAAATTTTAAGTAAATTTCTAGAACATCTTAGGGTACAGCATTTTTTTTCACATAAACACCATATCAAGTATTAAAAATATTGTATTACAAAGAATCAAAAGCAGAATATATATAAAATCCACTATAACAATTATTCTAAAAGTTTGTTTAACCTATTTTATAGTTGATTTTGAATTTTATATATTTTCGAACTTACCAAGTATTGCATTCATCCATGCGGGTCTCGCCTGCCAAGTAAAACTTGCCTTTATGCGCACATGGTTGAATGAACGGGTTCTCCTCTCCGATACAGACCGGCTCGTAGTCGGGACAACAATCATCGTGGTTCCGATTGCAAAATTCGTCACAATAGCAAACAGTATCTGGAACAGCTAAGAATGAGTTAGTTGACCTAAAATTAATAGATCATACTGGAAGCCCTAAGCTGGCCTGATGATATGTAACACTAGGTACAACATTCATAGGTCGCATAATACAGGGTTATATTTTAAACTGGCGACTCATCATCTCTACGCTCGGGTTTATCCCTGCGTTTTAACGTTTAGTAGGTATAAATTTTTCAGAGATGAGATATTTTCCCGCAGTAAAAAGTATCCTAATTGTTGACCCGGATAGCTATCATCATACCAAATTTTATACAAAATCTGTCCAGTGGGTTTCTCGTGATGCATTACCAGACAGACTGACAGACAAAAATTCTAAAAACTATACATTCGGCCTCTATTTCGGTAATATTGACTATTTCAAATAGATTTTCCGAAAAATTCTAAAAACTATAGATTCGGCCTCTTCATCGATAATAATGTTTATTTCAATAAGATTTTCCAAAAAATATTTAATGTACAGATTCGGGTTAGTCACAATTTTATTATATGTATAGATTTAATTTTAATTAAATCACTGGACAGTGATTATTTTGATAACTCTTAAATAATTTTATTTTAATAACAACAGAGGCGCGGGCAACAACGAGTACATTCTATTTCTCTCTTTTCTATTTTTCTTGAGTACTTTCCGCGATAAACGACAAAGACAAAGACAAGCAGAGTTGATGTCAGCCAGGCGACTAGTCGCAAAAATTTTGCCAAATCCTATCAGCAGTACAGAAGGTGTACTGTGCCGGATCCAAGTGATTAAGAAATGGGTTGGGAGATGATGATAGCCCCAATGATATTACAAATACGAAAGTTTGGATGGTTACTCAATCACACCAGAACGGCTGAACGGATCTGGATGAAAGACAGTCTGGAATAGCACGGAAAATCTAGGGTTGCCGTGGGATAGGTTGGTTTTTCACTAGAAATGAAAGCCCCCGAGCAATGCGGGGTGAATCGCTAATCTGTACTTATATTATAAAGAGGTAAAGTTTGTGAGTCTGTGAGATTGTAAGGGGTAATCTCTGGATCTACCGAACCGATCCAGATGAACTTTGGTAAAAAGATAGTTTGAAACCCTGGGAAGGACATAGTTATATTATATTTTTGGCTAATTCGTTCATGGCTATTATATATAAAAAATAATAGCATTATTGACATAACTTTTTAATTAGTATAGTAAAGTCAAATATGAGGTTACATCTTGAGTTATCTTTCATTTTTACATTTTAATCTTACCGATTATCCTGTGTGAACATCCGTCTTCTCTACCCTTGCAACACTTTCTATCTACACCACAGTAAGGCCCCGGTGGTAAGTCGGGGTGGTAGTACGCTGCGACAGCGCCCATCAACACACACAGTACCAAGACATGCATTCTGAAACAAAATAAATTGTAAATAATCTATATGAATGAACAAAACTAATAAATTAGAAATTATAATATAATATTTATATTATCTATTCAATCCTTTTTGTTGGACTCGGGCCTCCCTTCAATACGAGGGGGATCAGGCTATAGTCCATTACGCTGGCCAAGTGGCGGACAAATGGCGGATAAGTAGGCGGACTTCATATGTCAATTGAAGACTTATTTATTATTCAGGGTTTGAGCCCGCTTATCTTGGTTTTCGAAACGAGAGTGTTTATATATATAAAGTTAATAATAGTAAGTTTACGTGTAAAGTATGCTTAAATCCTAAGGCATAAGCGTTTTTTTTATTGCACATAAGATATTTTATGACTAATCAATGCACGTGCTTGCTGTTATCAACGATTACAGCCAATTTAAAAATTTGTTTAAGTAACAGAGTAGAGAAGATCAGAGTACGTGAATAAAATGTAAATGGACAATTTACATTACTTTATGTTTTAATGTTTGTAAATTATTTACATTTAACATATGTCATTTTTTTTCACGTTTTGCACTAAATTAACCTACTATAAAATATTATACTTCACACGTTCAGTGGATGAGTGTACGTAGGAAAGAGAACGAGAATATGGTAGGAGATAATAAGAGGAGATGGCAAGAGAGAAAAAATTGCATAAACCGAGCACCATGATATTTTTCATGAGTATCTAATTAAGAAAGTAATTTTAAAATTGTATCCCCTAAAGGTAAATATCTGATGATCCCTTCAGCTATTTTTGAAGTAAGAAATATAGAAATTGATAACTAAGCTTTTATTTACATATCTATATTGGAAAGAAATTCTTGCTTGCTTTGCTACTATTTTGTAATAAAAAAATTAAAATATTTTATAGTACGTTTTAACAATTAGTAAGGAATAGATAGCCTAAATATTATAGTACATATATATATATATATATATATATATATATATATACATATTATGTATGATTCAGTTTCATATCTCTTACTTGAGAAATGATTGATTGTCCATACAAATTTTAACCCCCCTTTTCACCCCCTCAAGGGATGATTTCCGGGATAAAATCTATCCCATGTCCTTTCCAGAATCTAAAACTATATCTATAGCAAATTTCATCTAAATCAATTCAGCAGTTCCAAAGATTACTCCCTACAAACAAACTTTACCTCTTTATTATATTCTAGTAAATAATGTAAATTGAACTCAATTTTATACGTAGGTTTACTTTGTAGAAAACATACTATATAAATTGATTTTGCTAGAGATATATCGTCAAGTATAGTGTTTATTGAAGTGGAATGCGGTTACATCATTCTTATAAACAATTTAGCACTTATGCACACACAAACACTAACATTGCTATAAATGGAAAGACGCCATTTCTTGTTTTTATTATGATGATGATGATGTTGTCCTATTATTCCGTCGTGGAACTTAGTGCTGCAGCAGTAGTTTTCCATGCCCTTCTATCTTTAGCTATTGCTTGGACATGGTTCCACGAGATTCCCACCCTTCTTAAGTACGCCTCAATGGACCTCCTCCAGGTGTTAGTTGGTCGACCAGGTCTTCTTCTACCGGCAGACTGTTTTTATTATACAATAATTTAACTCTTCATATTGAAATAAAACATACAAGCAGACAAAATTGTAAATATTAAAAATTGTATGTAGAGTAAAGAGACTTCTGTTGTTTATTGCTCTACAGCACATTGACCTATTTGCAAAATAATAATAAACTTGATAAGAAAACCACGCTGAAATCTATATTTACGTTGCGATTTAGAATGCACTTAGCTAATAGATGAATTTCAAATAAGAAGTGTGATTTTTTAAAAGTTACAGATTTTTTTATGGGAAAAAATCTCTATCAGTCTGTAACGGGAAAAAACTTGCGGATGCGCTGTCAGCCTTTAAGAGACCTGAAGAGCTCTATATTACAACATTCAGAAAAAACATAAAAGTAAGAAAATTATGCCAAAACTCTCTGTAAAGCTGAGATTTTCCTGTGTTTAGATCAACATGACCAATTAAAAAAATATACCTTTGATTAAGGACTACGACTTCCCCATAAAAAAATATATTAAAAGTTACGGCTAAGTAATGCTCAATACAACTATCTCTTCAAGCAATTAACTTAACACAATAAATCAAATGAGCAGAAACTCCAAGGTTTTACTAACAGAAATTAAAGAGTACCACCAACCAACTCCCTGGTTCTATTGTCAGACCAACTCGATGGTATTATATTATTGTACTGCCATCCGGTTATTTGCTATCAAAAATTTAAATTCAATATGGCAATTAAAATTTTCAGTTACAAGTGAAGCGTAAAAGCATATTAAATTTCTGTTTAATTTTATTTAAATTGAAAACCCATCGATTTATTGCTTTCAAATAATGAGATATCAAAAATATTGAAAGAAATAATTTGACTTACATACATATTTATATTTACATTTGCAAAGAAATCAAGTGTCCAATCTTCTATATATTAATAGTTAAAGACAACAACAGTTCAATACCTTTTTTCCTGTTTGTTAAAAAAAACTTTTTTTGTTTATTAGTTATTGAAGAGCTTTAGTGTTTGTAATAAATAAAAAAATGATTATGTCAGAATTTCGGATACTGTATAATATGTAATCTATAGATATACCTACATATATAAATTGTAACTAAGCCGAATCTATACATTAAATATTTTTTGGAAAATCTTATTGAAATACACATTATTATCGATACAGACGCCGAATCTATAGTTTTTAGAATTTTTGTCTGTCTGTCTGCATGTCTGTCTGCCTGTCTGTCTGTCTGTCTGTCTGTCTGTCTGTCTGTTATCGCATCATGGAAAAACCACTGGAGGGATTTTGATGAAATTTGGTATGATGATAGCTGGTTATTCGGGTCAACATATAGGATACTTTTTACCGCGGAAAAATCTCTCATTTCTGAGAAAAAATACAAAAACTGTAATGTAAGAGTTTACTAATATGTAAAACCTAAGAATTTGGTTTTTAATAACCTAAACGCGGGTGGAGCCGCGGGAAATGCTAGTATAACATAATTTCCGTTGAAATGTATCAATTTTTACTACCACGCATTAGTTTAATGATTTACGATTCGATAGAATCGTTCTAGCTTTAACATTGAAAGCTGTGCATTTTCGAAATACTTCGTGATAAATCAGTGCTATATCTACTAAAAGTCGGCTTTGGTTTCAAATTACTGTATATTTCGACAAATACATTGTCACTTAAGCTATTCTAAATCATAATATTGCGGGATAAGGTTCAAAATTCGATAGAATGTTAAGTGAAAATAAAGTAGATTAAGTCGATTCACAGTTTTAACGACAAAGGCTTTTGTTTTAGATTAACATATGGAATTCGAAAAAGCTATCGTAAAAAATAAACATTTTCTTGTAATGAATTAATGATTGAATGCGACATCCCTTAAATGAAATTAATGAAATGAAACTTTATTTAAATAGACTTATTACAAGCACTTTTGAATCGTCAATTTAGATTTTAAAGCGTCAGTATTCCGTGAGAAAGCTACCATCGGCTCGGAAAGCAGTTCTGCTGAGAAGAGCCGGCGAGAAACAGACAAACAATTGCTCTTTTAAATATCGATGTTACATTAATAGACATAATATTACAGATAGCCTGCATACCTATGAGTCAATCGGAACTTTTGTTTATCCGTTATCTTCTATACCTACATATAATAATATCCTCAGTCGAATCTATAAATGAAATATTTTTTTGAAAATATTATTGAAATAGTCATTATTATGGATGCAGGGGCCGAATTTATAGTTTTTAAATTTTTTATCTGTCTGTCTGGGAACGCATCACGAGAAATCCACTGGGCAGATTTTGATGAAATTTTGAAATTTGGTATGATGATAGCTGGTTTTCCGGGTTAATATAAGGGATAATTTTCACTGCAGGAAAATATCTTATGTCTGAGAAATCTATACTAGACGTTAAAACGTAAGGCGGAGTAGTGCGAGGGTGAGTTACTAGTTCAATATAAAATTATATTTAAATATATTGTATAGTGTATAGTAAAGACCATTCGATACGCTAATTGAGTTCGCAATTGACATATTTTATATATTTTTATTTTAAATATTAGTTGGAGCTGTTATCCTTACTAATATTATAAATTTGAAAGTGTGTTTGTTTTTTTTCTTCGTCCTTCTTTCACGTCGAAACGGAGTGACGGATTTGTTTTTTTGTGTGGAGATAGTTTGAGGGCTGGAGTGACATTAGTTACTTATACCACGAAAGATTATCTAATTCCCACGGGATAACACGTTATAATACAATTCAAAACAAATTATTACGATCAGAATTACTTGAAACTTGGTATTAATGCTGTTCAATAAAATTAAATAAATACTTGTTTTAGCATTTTTTGAAATTCATCCTATAAGGGGGTAAAAACTATCATCTAGTTTGTATGAAACTACCTTTTTAGAGATTTTTTTGTAGTTTTAGCGCGAGAGAAGCCTCGAGTTCTGCTAGTTGTGTTATATTTATTTGCATATTAAATTTTCATACTTTTTCAAATATTTGTTTATTTAACATATCGTTGGCTCACTATTACAAGGTTCTATGTTAATTTTAACAAAGTACTAAAATTGTAACATAGAACCTTGTAATTGTGAGCCAACGAATTATGTAGAAACTGGTACATAATATATGTATGTACATAAACTAAATTTTAAAACGTGTACGAGAAAAGAATATTGTTTTGGCAGCCATATGTATTACAATTTTTCTTTTAAAGATTTGACTCACTTTAGACACAGTTTAAATAATAAATAACTTTTAAAACAGATGTGTAAATATGAAACAATACAACGAGCTAGTAAATATATTTATAAAAAACTATTTAAAGTATTACAAAATAAAGTAAATTTTAATATTATAAATGCTTTTGAAATTTATGTTTTTTGCACCAAATTTTTTAATTTCA